CTTTTGGATGCGTCAAGTAAACAGCAAGTCTTCGTCCAAAAGACGCAGACCGATCAAGAGCAAAAACGACTGCCCGAAGTCGGCAATAGACGAACAAAGGACATTTTCGGTGTCTCGCATTTAAAAAAAAATGGTAAGTACTAATTTCCCACTAAGAACTATCGCTAAGCCAGAACCAGAGTTGATAAAAAAAAAAGTGATCAATGACAAAAAGTAAATAGATTCAGATAAACGAGATATGTGTGAACCTGCCACTAGTTGACCATTTCATACTTGGTGTATCATGGGCTGAACTAATATATGAAGTCCAAAGTAAAATAGAGTTGTTGCGATTGTACTAAGCGAAATATACATGAGCAGAATTTACAGAACCTCCAATAGCAAGGGCTGTTAGGATTAGCGATGTGCGTCTTGGGAGCCTCACATTGTATGTGTCTAGCGCTTCTTGTCATTATACAGGGTGGTCCAGGTCAAGTGTAACAAAAGTTTAAAGTCCCCTCCCACACCGAATATTTGACTCATGTAGTTCAAATGTTATTCGTTGGAATTGTACGTTTCTGCTGTTTAATCCTGTCCTGGATTTTGACTCTGTCGGTTGAAAACAAACGAATAAAATTGCGCTGGAAGCCATGCGGTTCTTAGTCGTGGAACTGCATGAACAAGGCCTGAAAAGACCGGACATTGAAAAGGCGAGCAACAAGTTGAAGTTAAGCCGAGCCTTCATCAAAGGATATTTAATCGGTTTCTTGAAACAGACTCTACCGCCAAACGACCTGGAGGCAGTAGGAAAACGACGAGAACGAAGAAATCGGTCAACCAAGTCAAGCGCCGGATTTGGCACAGGTCCATCAGAAAGATGGCGGAGGAGATGACTGTCTCGAGGTCGACGATGATGAAGGTAAAGAACGATCTAGGGTTCACCTCCCACCGGCTCCAAAAGCGATAGCTACTCGGTGCAGTCACTAAGAGTACGAGACTTTCCCGAAGTCGTCAGATGCTGGAGAGGCTCAAGAATGGTTCGGCCCCCAACATTGTCTTCTCGGACGAGAAGTTATTCACGGTACATGCAGTTCACAACAGGCAAAATGATTGTTTACTGGCACGAAGTCGAGAGGAGATTCCCGACAATGCTGGAATGATGTTCCGCACCCAGAAGCCGGCCACCGTTATGGTGTGGGCCGCCGTCGCCAACAAGGGCAAGTCTCCCCCTCGTCTTCGTTCCCGAGGGGATTAAAATCAAGGACATTTACATAAAATCCATAATGCTGGACGCCCTGCTCCCCTGGGCGAAAGATCTGTTCAGGGATGAGCCTCGGACATTTCAGCAGAACGGAGCAACGTCTCATAGGCTAATAGCTAATAGGCTTTCCGACTGGTGTCGGAAAAATTTTCCAGGGTTCTTGACCATGGAGGAGTGGCCCTGTCGTCTCCAGATCTGAACCCTCATCACTACGCCATGTGGTCGATCCTCGCGTCTAAGGTCTGTTCCAAGCCCCACGACAGTCAGATAATCTCAGACAATATTTGGTTCGCATTTTGGACGAAATTCCAATGAAATAGGTGAGGAACAGCGTCAACAACTTCAAGAAGAGGTTGAAGGCCATAATGAAGGCCAAAGGTGGTCAATTTGAGTGAAACTTACGTCATGTCTGGTCCATTATGTCAGGAACAGGCGGTGCAGATTTGAAGTCAATAAAACGTGCCATTTCTTAGAAATGGTTTACAAGGTAGTTTGGTTTGGTTCATTACACTTGACCTGGACCACCTTGTATAACTAATGCGTTCTTACGAAATAGTACTAAAATTTCGGGTACCTATTATAGATACTTACTTCCATCCTACCCCTTTTGTCAGTACCTTTAAGTATCCACATGTACGAAGCTAAAATTTGAAAGGTGGATGAGCCACGGCTGCATGGCCTTATGTCCCAAAGGTGGCTTTCTCCATGGATGTCTGCCTCAGCTTATGGAAGAACGTGTTGGCATGCAGAGACGTCTACCTTCATTTTCGGGGATAAGTTAGTGAGTCCGCTCCTATTAGGCTGAGCTCCATGTGTGAAGTTTGAAAAATTTTCGGATATAGTTTATTATGATATAAGACGAGAAAAGCTTCCATTTGATGTGATTGATGACTTGTTCATTGATGTGAGGAGAATGAGAAAACACAAGGCTCTCTTCACTTTTTACTCTACCAATGTCCCGACAGAAAGGCAAACGGGAAGAGCCCCATACTTGAGGCGTTATATCTTCTATCCGATCACGGAATATGTGGAGTCTCCCCCTGTTTCGTACGTGGGAGTGCGAGAATCAAGGTACAATGAGAAGAACCTTCTCATCCCGAAGGAAGCAGGGGTACTGTGGAAGATTCTATTACAAGACATGAGAGCGTCAAGTACAGCACAGATCAATGTTAAGCCGTAATTAGTGGATCTTCCCAAGTCGCGAAACTACAGACACGGTTGTAGATGGAGACGAAGGGAAGTTCGATCCCCTCCAAAACCTTATCGGAACAGGAAAGTGATAATTCTGAAGCTTATCATCAGAATCCGACAGGAATCAACGGTGAATGGTTGTTATGAAATATGGGAGTCGAAGTATGTAAACTAGAGTACCAACCCAGGTACTGATATGGATTTGCCGTTCCGCAGGCCCATGTGTGCTAGCAACCCAATTTCGACAATATAAGTAGTACATCATAGACCTCTATGAATAGTCCCGGTCAACTGTACAAAGTTCTCGATGATTCGTGAATCCCGATGGCGGCACGTCGGGGTAGGCACGTTAGGCCGGGCCTAACCTGGGCCAGACAAGAAAGCGAGCATCGAGAGATGCCGTGAATTTAGGTCATTTTTACTCCATCTTAACTTCTATATGGCAACGTTTCGGAATGCCTCCAGCCAGAATAATATTTTGGTTTCCTTGTGAGAGTCAGTAAATTTGGCCCAGTAACAGGTTAAAACGGGTCAAATCAATTAACCAATACCAATAAGCAATGTGTGCTATTCCTGGGCATATAATGGGTTCCTATTCTCACCTGATCGGGAGCCGCCGCTGTTAATACTTTATTTTAGTTTAGTAGTATCTGAAAGTGGGGAGGGTTGTAAAATGAACGTACATTTCAGAGAATCGAATCTTCAAAATGAGTTTTATGCATAGAGGGTGCCAAAAAATCTCCGAATGAGAAAGACATCAATCGAGGGATTCGTATCGACACAAATTGATGGACTTTTCCTTGAAGAGTCCCTTGGCCACACTGCTCCATTTGTCCTTGAGATGTTTGAGCGAGAAATCGTTCTTGGATCCATTCTCCTCCTCCGCACAAGTAATTTCGACATTGGATACACAACGTCGAAATTACTTTTGTGGAGGAGTGTTGAAGTTCGTCAGGAGGGAATGATACCGGCTGGTCATCTGCAATAATTGTACTTAGTGAGAAATGCATATCCATGGTGCCTTTAGACTGCATTGCGTGCCACTGAACGCAAAATCGGAAAGGTAACTGGGCTCACTAGTTTGCCAGCTGATTGTCGTAATGTAGGTGACTTTCCTCGATCTGCAAGTTTGATTACTGAGAATTGAATTCGGTACCAGATCTCAGGTTGGTTTGCTTTTAGACGGGAAATTCGGAAGGGACCCAAGGCTGGCATTACCATAATAGTTGTACGATTATCACCCATGAGAGCATGACCTACCCGAGGAATGTCTACTGAAGTGTCTACGCCATAGACACACCGTCCTTATGCACATCAAGTGTGTAAGGACGGCACTTTCCAAGCGCACGTTTCAGAAGTTCGATGGCGCGAAAGTCCACGAGAGAAGCATTTAGCAACTCATAGTCCTCGAACGGTATGGCGTGAATTCCGGTTTCCGACTCCATCTTGCGCAGAAACAGTGGCTTTGACTCGTGGATTTAGCTGAATGTCTTCTCCTGGTGAACCCAGACTGTCATGTCGGTATCTCCTCACGGTACAAAGGAGTCAATACATTAGCCGAGTAGTACTCCGAGCTCACTTGGGCCCTGCTGTCGACTTTCCAAAAGTACGGTTCTCTGTAGCTGTACCAAGCAATGACACTGAATCCATAAGGGAAACTTTCATAGCAATCAGTGAATCCCTTTTGAGAGTCCTTCTCACCCCTCGATCTGCAATAAATGGTGCTAGCTACGCTTGGTGCAGTCGTCAAGGTAGACTTGTGCTACGCTCAGTGACGCGACGGCTTTCAATCAGTCATCATCCAGGTAGCACTAATAAAGCTTTCTGGAGTTGATATTCTTCGTTTGACCATGTTTAAGAGACACTTGAGAACACTTGGCTTTTGTTGGGTCTCTAGGTGAAGATCCTTATGGATGATTTAAGCACAGTTGTCATAGACACTCCAATAGCTTTTGCGATGGACGTTAATGCTCTTGGATTTTCTCGTTACCAGACTGGAATTTGTTGACCAACTTTGGAGTGCGGCTGGTGGCGGGTCTTTGTCTGGATGGACTCGAGTCTAAAATGGTGGATCCATCCCTTTCAAAACCATCCGAAAAATCCCGTCCAACCCCATTAACACTTTTTGGATTTCATACTTGGATGCATCGAAAGCCCCTAGTATGGCACGTCTTGATCTTCAGATACGAGTATTTGGCGAGAGAAAGGGTCCTTCCCAGTACTTCGCATCGATGAATTTTTGTGGCATCAAAGCCCACGGTCAACAATCGTCATGACGCTAAACGAGGACCCAAGCCTACAGCTGAGAGCCGTTGACTTACTGTGTTGAAACAATAAATAATATGGGCACCTTAAGCAAACAGCAACTGACAGCACTCTTGTTGAAACATCAAGTCCTCTTCGTGAAACTTCGTCCTCGTGGTTTGTTAAAGACTTTGGGTAAACATGAGATGAATGGATATCGAATACCCACCTGGATAATGTCTCAAAATGAAAGGAAAGGATCACTTAATATTAATGAGACTAATGAGTGTGCTCACGCTCAACTGACAAAGGAGAATCTTCGTACTCATTCGATAAGTTTCGATGCAGGACGGTCATGCAGTTCCCTGTTGCTTTCATGGATTTCCGGGGGATCATTTGCCATCACGTCATCACTGGGATGCTCTTGCGAGTCAGGAGACGCCCTAAAATGAAGTTCCACGAGAAGTTGGATATAGTCGAGATCGACGTCCGGCTAAAAAATCCAGAACAAATTCGTCTCAAACCTCTCCTGGGAGTTTGAATTTCTCGGAGACTGAACTTCCAGGTTCAATGTGCTAAATTTCATGGGAGGGGGAACGTTTTCTGTGAATTTCTTTGCGAAGTTCCCCTGTGGGAAATAAAACGCGACCACAATGATGTCACCATTCTTGGATTTCCCATGAGCGACTCCCAACTCTTTTGTATCCTTCCAAACCACTTGGGTGAAATGTCCTGGAAGGGGGACAAATAACATGATGGAAAATTCAATGGCGACAGCAACTCAAAAGACACTCGGGTGGTCACTATACAATATTGGTACAGGACTAATAAAAATGCTTCATCCGATTTCTGATATGGACGACATTCTCATATCACCTACCGTTTGCATCTGCTGAGACCCATTTATCAATATCTCGTTTCAAGTCATCTGTTGCAGAAGCTACTTTAATTATAATTATGGATAAAATTTCCCCTGGGGTGCAAAACATCGCAGTTGCAATTGTTGCGATAGACAGGGAAAGAGTCTTATTCTGTTCTTGTTCCTCACAAGCTATGCCTTTCACGGGAGGACTTTGGAAAGATACCTCCTGTGAACTTCCGATATTGTGGAATCATAATTAATTCGGAATCCAAGGAGATGCCATTCCTGAGAGATGGTGATATTCGTGGGATCATCAGCAAACCTACAAATGCCACTCCCTCATTCACTGTTCCACATGATTGGGAAAGGCAATAATGACCATCTTAATATCTAAATAGTGACTCTCAAATTGACAACTCTTGTTCACAAATCTCTTTCTTCAAAATCGTTTGAATGCCGTTGTTTTCAAATGCGGATTTGCTCACATGGACAACTTTTCCAATATTACTTCTTGGTTCCCGATTCTGGGTCAGATCCTCAACGCATTTGAAGACAGTACCCATAATTGGAATGGCACTTGCCCATGAACATGAAACATTAAAGCCGCACCGATTGAAGGCCAAACTGTGGCGTGTCATCTGATCTCACCGGATGAAAGGTGACCAGAGGGTTCATGGCCGAATTGATGACGCTGGATCTCGGAATACCATTTCTTGACGGACTCATGAGGCGTGACGGTGAAGTTATTGCCTGTGGATCGTACAAAGTAGATGTTCTCTCCGTATTTCCAGTGGAGTCGATGCTCCAACCGTTCCAAATCACGAAGATGTTCCATCCATTCCTTCGCTTCCCCGCACATCTATCGCAATTATCATTTCATTAAAGTCAAAGAAGTGACAAGGAAACATTTTTCTCTGGATGGGGGAGGACGACTCGAGGGGATATGCCGGAATATCACAGTCAAATTTCCGTAATGATGAATCGCGATAACCTCACCTGTATGTTGAGTTCGAGAGTAGGGACACCGTGTTTCGCCCGGTACATATTGTGGGCCTTCAACGATTGAAAGGCGAACGTTGCGTCATCTTGCGTCAACCCCTGGGCTTCCTGATGAAGAAACTTCAGCGTGAGGTAACACGTACAAAAGGGAGTATTTAAATACTGTAGAATAAAACGCAAATGTTATTTGGGCTGAAATAATAAATTAAGCAAATACAGAGTGAGGCAAAAGTCAGGGAACATTGGAGTTTTGGGGGAATTTAAGAGGATAATTTTCCCTTCTGTCTAACTTTTCACTGATGATCACAGCTCTCAACATCTCTCACTTGGGTTTTTTCGAGCGTGTGGACACGAGGGCCAGAAGTATTGTTTGATCGGCTTCTTCTATCGCTCCCAGTTCATTTTTTTTTCATCGAGAACATTGGCGGTTGCCGGAATTTTGCTATCAAATCCGAAATCCAGTGGATCGACAGTATTGGCTAATTTGGTTGTCTTTCCTGAGAATCATACTGTAGTAGTTTGCCGGAAACTGTTATCTGTTTATGTGTAAATCACAAGTTTCACTCGCTTTTCGGTTATTTCGCAACATTCAGTCAAAAATCACTTTCAAATGTCGTCCGTCGAATTATGAAAAAATTGTGCTCTCTCAGACATGGAGGTCATCAATATGAGCAGCAATGGAAATGACACATAATCGCCAAAATTGTCATACTTGTTCCAAGTGAGTAACGGTCGTTCATTTCCAGCCAATTTCATTGGACGCAGCGGGAGCACTCTTCACTGGATTTCAACTATTGTATGCCTAATTGATGAAAAAAGGATACGGAAATGTGCTCCCACCCAGCAGTCACTTTGAAAATTAAATTTCCTCAAAATTGCTTTGTTGCCTGACTTTTGCCCCACCCTGTAGGTATCTAAGGCAAACAAAAATTAATTGTTCTTGCAACAGGTTTTGCCGGAGTCTCCTCTTTTGGAAATCTCATTTCTAAGATACAATTAAATGTTGATTTGCTGCCTGACTTTTGCCCCACCCTGTAGGTATCTAAGGCAAACAAAAATTAATTGTTCTTGCAACAGGTTTTGCCGGAGTCTCCTCTTTTGGAAATCTCATTTCTAAGATACAATTAAATGTTGAGGCAAATAGATGACATGGATAAGAAATACCTACAGAATCTGGCCCTAAAGTATGCCTATGGGGAGAGGCGTAGAAGAAAAAGACTGTTAAAAGACCATTCCAAAAAAAACAGCAATGGAGAAGTGATGGACAAAGGCGAAAGCTTCCATCTCCCCTTGATCCCCTAGTTGAAATCTCTGTAGGTGTCATGATGTATTATAATTGTTATATGCTGGTTATTCGAAAGAGGCAAAGAGAGCTTTCCAGCGATGTGGATTTCGTCATGATCAGGGATAATTTTTTTTAGCAATGAACAGGAAAACAGGTTTCTACGTACCCAATCACCGAGTTTCCAAGCAGGGGAACCATTTATTTCACCGTCGCTGCCAAGGATTTCCGGAGATCCATCTGCGAACACGTCATCGCTGAGACCTTCTTCAAGTGCGAAAGACACCCTATAAAGGAGGTCCATGAGCTCTCGCAAGTTGTCAGGATTATCAACCAGCCCGAAACCCACAACTGGATTCGTGCTTATCCCTTTCAGTATCGACTAGTTGTACTTTTCTGCCTATTTTACTCGCTTCTTTTTCCATAAAAACATTATTAAAACCTCCATTGACATACAGGGTGCCGGTAGGTTGGACGGTCTTAAATTCGCTAGGCCATACGATCGGCCGGCAGCCCGTATTCTTGACGAATAAATTACCTTGAATTCAAGGGAAAGAAAGGTAAATTAGGCCCTTGCAGTCAACACGTTTACATTGCCCAATTCGTAATCCTTCCATTAATTTCAATATTCTTCATGACAGTATAATTTAATACTAGACACTTAGTTTATTGTCATGGTTACATTTGAATACAGTCGTTACAATATCTGAGTGCTCCAGAAAAAGTTCCTAGAGAATGAATTCAAGGGCGAAAGATGCGCAAAATATATTTAAAATTCCTCAGTCCCTGTGCCCATTGGGCATAATGTGAGCGAAGAGATCGAGACTCCGACCTGGTTTTTGAATTGGAACTTCGTGGAGACCGTATTTCCAGGTTCAATGAGTTAAATTTCATGGGAGGGGGAACGTTTTCGGCGAATTTCTCCACGACGTTCCCCTGTGGGAAATAAAACGCGACCACAACGACGTAACCATTCTTGGATTTCTCACGAGCGACGCCCAACTCCTCCGTTTCCTTCCAAACCACTTGGGTGAAATGCCCTGGAAGGGGGACCGAGGAAAACATGTAAATTCCATCCCACCAATAATCGGCTAGACATGAGGTTTACTCTTTTGTTATTACAAGTTAAGATCAATGCAGTACAAATATTTGAGCGATTCTCTGGAACAGTGGTTCTCAAATATTTTAAACATGCGATCCCCGAGGAGCATTTTCGGGTTTTCCCCAACCCCCTCGCACGCACGCACGGAAGGAGCCAAGGATTTGAGAAGCTTTCCCCTTCGTGCTCTGGCGCTCTCGGCATCTCGGTATGGCATGTTCACTTCAGAGCCACGCCAAAAAGAGCAACAAATGGTGAATCTTTTCCTGCATGCATGATCTTGATCCTGGCTGTAATCATTCTACTCTACTGTGAAGTCAGAAAAGAGACTTAACAGCATAATTGATTAATTTCTCCAGTGTTCACATTCAATGGTCTTCGGAGGTTGGAGGAGGTTCAGGCTCACATTGCTTGGTGTTTATTTGAAACTTATAGCTGTTTACGCCCCAGAAATTTATTGCATCACTCATCTTCTAAGTCCCTCTATAACTCTATTTAATATCCGACTTTAACGTCCACGTCCACTTAAAGCAAATACTGTTCCTATACCTATAACTTTACCCTAGTATCTTTTCGGTTGCTACTTCTGGTTGATAGTATTGCAATTATAAGTCCGGGTTTCAGCTATAATGAGGACCGTACTCATACTGGAATGGAACCTGCCGATAAACATGAATCATGAATAAAGGACGCAGTGTCGTCTGAAGACACGGTTGGGGCTTCTAAACTTACCGGATGGTAAATTGCCAGAGAGTTCATGGCCGAAGTTATGATGTCGGATCTCGGCATACCACTTCTCGATTGGAGTGTGAGGAGTGACATTAAAGTTATCGTCTGTGGTTCGGGTTCGGTAGATGTTCTCCCCGTATTTCCGATGGAGTCGATGGTCCAGCCGCTCCAAGTCGCACAGATGTTTCGCACGTTTCTTCGCTTCCCCGCACATCTAATGCAGGTGGAAAACGTCACTTCGAAACACATTGCGGAATAAGGAATAAGATATCTCTGGATAAGGGAGGGTGAATGAAGAGGAGACGAGAAAATTATCATGCATTTCACAGCGTCTCACATCTTATACATTCGTATTGGTGGTTAAGATGAGTTAAAGGTAAGATGATCATCTTACCTTTAGGTTGAGTTTGAGGGGAGGAACACCATGCTTCGCCCTGAATGAATTGTGCACCGCCAATGATTTACTGGCGAATGTTTTATCTTCTTGAGTTAACAGGTGGACCTCCTGATGAAGAAATTTCATTCTCAAGTGAAAAGTACAATAACCCGAACAGAAAAAGAAGCCTCAGATGATGCCATTTCGGCATTCCGATTCATAGAACACATCTTAATTTCAAGCACTTCCGTGCTTTCTTCCTTTTAAAATATACGAGACACATGAGTTAGAGCTAGGTTTGTGCTATTTAAACCCTCTGATGCAAATGAGGAGGGTATATTTCAAGACTGATCATTTAATTGCTAAAAGTAGCCATGCATACAGTATAAACTTGTTTCATAATCCCCACGTACTGTCGGAGGATTCGAATGGCGGCATTTGGACTTCGACAATATCTCGGTGCCAGGTGAATTATTAAGCCTGAAGAAATGTTGCTTCTTACTGTGTCGTCGGTGCTCCTGAGAGGTCTCGAATGAGAAAGGAATCGAGGCTTTTCGTCAGTTGTCACTGCTTCAGGTTCTGTTCTGGGCTTTTCGATTTTTCTGAAGAAACTTGAAATCTTGAATAGAGAGCGACGCCTCATCTTCCTTTTCGGAGCTTCACTTTCTGATTTTCGCTTTTCCGCTCTACTGAAGAATCTTTTCCTCTTACCGCTTCTATTTTCGGAAGTGGGAGTGCTTTTAGACCTGAAATATGGTGGAATGCGACCAGGCTCCCCTCTTTGTGGAACTTCTGGTTTAGACTCAGTCACATTCCTCGATTTTTCCATCTCCGATGCATGGGATGATTTCTCCATCACCTCCTGCTGCATATATTTTAATTCATCAGATGAACACATAAGATTCGGTATTTTTGAAATAAAATTTTCTGGGGAAGCGCTTTTAGAACTAATAACTACTTCCCTTCCGATATTCTTCTCCCGCGTCAATTGACAGCAATCCTTGAGTCATCACACAAATATGTATTGCCTTGGCAATGTCAAAATATAATGGCAGGGCTTTGAATGATATTTTTGACGGGTGTTGCTCCTGCTCCATTTCGACAAAGCCATCGATAAAACTCAACGCAGTTGATCATGTGCGAAGCATTTCTCAGCGGAATCGGACAGGCTCCTTCCTTTTCGTCCAACTTCTGAGACAAGGAGGATAAGAATCCGAATGCCTCCATTCGATCGCTGGGCAAAAACTGGGTAACATCGAAGGATAACGTCTGGAATTCATTTCCACATGACATCAGCACGTTAGTATTGTCACCATTGAAATATTAAGACGAGAAAAAGTGCTAGTGAAAGTAAAAAGTGATGAGTTATAGGTTATTCTGCACGGTATATGCAAGCTTTTCATTTACAGTATATTAAATTAGACGATTGCCCTATAATTACGTAGACGAGAAACACTGCATCACTCCTACCGATCATATCGCGAACCGAAGATGCGAGTCAATGGAAGTGTTCGATGCCATTACGTGTGAGAAGTTCCGGTCTCGTCGATCAATTCCTGTGTAAGTTACATGGATTTACTTTGGCAGTGTTGGCATCTATCGTGATGGAACTTTCGCTGGAAATGGAGAAACGGTTCGTCACGTTTGTTGGGAGCGGGATTTCTGTTCTAGACGTCTTTGACGAAATAACATTTTACATAGTCTATCGCAACACAGAATCCAAACTGTAGAGTTCCATCCTTCATCTATACCCTCAAAGGAACTAAGTCCTGCGAAATCAGCAGTGAAGCTGACTGTTGTTCGGGGATTCGGGGACGATCGGATAGCCAGTTCATAAAATTCAAATAATAAAATTCACGCATACAGTTTCTGATGTGGATCAGTGGGAAGCGCACTAACCTTTGTCACTTTTGGTTCGAGCTCTTGGTTTTGTTGCTCAGACTGAAGAGAGCCTTCTTCCGTTAAGGGTGCCTCAAAGGATTCCATCACCGTTACCACTTGCTCATCGCTCACGCGATGGTGTTGCTGGATCTCGTTTGACTGAAATTATGAGAATTCCTGTGACTGGCTGTTATCAGGTGACTATTTAAAAGAGTATAATTGTTTATTAGGAGAGACCGGATCAGCGCTTTTGTTAGGCGGTTTCTCGCTCGAGTTGAACTGTTTCTCTGTCTCCATTTCCCCTTGCTCTCTACCCTTCTCATCAACCTGTTTCTGGGAATCCTTTCCCAGTGTCCTTCCGGCTACTTCGTGCTTCGCCTGTGAAGCTCCAGTTTGGGATGATTCCTGATTTCCCCTCCGTTTGTCTTCCATAGCCTGTATGAACGAAGAAATAGCATTCGATAGGCAATGTCACCATGTCGTGAAAGTTGACAAGATTTTGGCGATAGAAACGTGCTGGATGATTTTCGAGAAAAAAAATTCCATGGTTTTCTTGGCATATGCTACCAACAATTTTAAGTTAAATCAGCGAATGACATTAGAAGGCTACGAGTTGTTGCAATGAGGATTAGGTTTCTGTTAGTACACATGTCTGAGCAATGGATAGCCCGTTATACAAATTAACAGGTAGATCATTCCAGGTGCAGATGTGACAATGTTCACGAACATCTCTGACTTCAATACCATTTGGCATGCCGTCTTATTTTAGGAAGAATAGCGTATAGAAAAAAGGGTAGATCATTACCTAAACTAGTAAATTATATAATGGAGTATTCTATAACTAAGGCAAGAGCACCGATAAAAACCTAATCCTTATTCTGACGCCTGGTAATCTCCCAATGTCAATCACTCTCTTATATAGTATATCATTGAATAAGCGATGCTACCAATCACTTTTGGTACACGATGAGAACTTTTTAAATATACTTGCGACCTGCGGCCGCTATACTGACCGTCTAATATATTAAAAGTATACCAAAGTTTTTACAGCCTAGAATGGCATAGCCTTGTAGGCCTTGGGTGTCAGGCCGTGGATGGCCTAGCCCATCGCTTGGAATGGCATAGCATCGTAGGCCTTGCGCGTTAGGGGTTACTGGGCTAAATCGGAGGATTCATACGCACGCACGCGGCTTCATTACGTATTTAATATATAGGATTTCAAATCGTCTATGTGTACGCGCTCTAACGCTAATATGGACGCGAACATGAAGAGAGGAAAATTGACTGGAAGAAAGGATTTCTGCACTGTGATATTGACTTTGAGCTTCCAAGGAGTGCATAATTGGACCGCCACGAAGGATTTCACTTGCTGCTCCTGTTTTGAGAGTCTGGGAAAATAACAAACCTTTTCCACCTGCGGTTCGAATTCATTGTTTTGCTTGCCAGACGGAAGTGCTCCAGTACCCTCATCCTGCAAAGGGGTCATTGCCTGTGCCCCTGTGTCATCTCGCATCTGAGGTTTTTGCTCTGCTTTCGACTGCAATCATGAAAACGCCACAGAGTGTGTCATCAAATGACTGATTTCCTCGTTGATAGAATGCGACGGTATAGGAGCAATACTCGAATTGGCTGTTTGCTAGACTTGAGCTGTCTCTCTGTCTCAACATGGCTATGTTCCAGCAGCTTCGTCTTCCTATCTTCCTTGGGAGAATCGCTTCCCTGTATCCTGGTCGAGGCTTCATACTTTGCCTCGACTCCTCCCTTGATTCGTGTCTGGGGCAGTTCTTGTACCAGCTCCTGCGTGTCTTTCATCGACTGCATGAGCGTAAAAAGAAACATTTGTAAATTTCGCTCCAGGAACGTTAGTCTCGTATTCCTCCTAGATTTTCTTTTTAAATTAGTCCATTTAGTCCATGGAAGTCTAAGATTTTCCGTATTTGCTCATTTACGGAGGGCATTTTGTGGAAACGAATTTGGCCTGCTATGGCGGTTTAATTAGGACAAGGCTTCGTTGGTAGTCTCTAACCTGTCGGTTGATATGGTGTTTTCAGTTTGTAACTGGAATGAGAAAAGGTTCGTACCAGGGGCATACCTCCAAAAATCAATGTTTAGTGGGAGGGATACATTACTACCCTTTCCCAGTAAAGTTATTCATACTTCATGATCTTGGATCGGTCCAAAAGAAATAGGGTAAAACGGCAAAACACGAACACCTGAAGGTTGAGTCAAACGTACAAACCATACGGTCGAGATGACCGCAATAATGTGTATTCCATTCGCCCTTAAGGTGAGTGCGTTCGACTCAATCGTAAGGTGTTCTAATTTTTCCGTTTTGCCCTACTAATATGTGCACTCCAAGAAGGAATTTCATGACATTATTCAGTATGTTGGAGTCACGCGAGAAGCCACGATAGAAATGCTTTTAGGAGAAACATTTTGCATAATATCCTTCTCACGTAGTTTTGGGAACTTTGGAACTTTCTTTTGAAAAACTTAGAGAACTGAACTAGAAGTGATGTCGAATAATTTTTAATCACGGATGAGAGACACGAATGCTTCAGCACGAATGTTTCCTATTAAGCGCGGCCTTTTCGCATGTGACGTCATTCTCAGTGACTTGAATCATAAGGGACCTTCCTCGTCGCCCTTTAAATTTGGTTGAATGATGTGAATCCCAAATAGCACTCAACTCATTTTAATCTGAACCTCACCATTTTGAAGTTAAAGTTTAAGGATGATATCTAGGCCGCCGTGTATTTATTATCTTTGGCAAAACTCAGACGCAGCATACGGGTGAATCAGGGCATACTGGAGCAATTGCGTGTCTTCAGACTTTAAAATTCCATAACTCTGAGAGTAATGAACCTATCTTGATGAAATTTGAAACATGAAGAAACCATGTCAGAGCAAATCCTTTCAATATATTTTGGCCGTGTTTGTAGCATTTTTCTGGGACACGCATAGCAGAGAAAATTGAATTTGTCCCACCCGTAACGCGTCTTTGCCCTAGTACACTCAGAACATTCCTCTGCCAAATACTTGCTCTTTGATTTTTTTAAAAACAAATAGCACAACATTCTAAACATACTATTCATTTTCAGAATGCACTTCAACTGCTATTAGAGGCAGTGTCTCTCAACCTTTGCCAAGGATTATAGGTGTCCTCAGAATTGACACTTTTTTCTGTCCTACCCGTAACGGTAATGTCATAAATAGGCGAATTGAAAATGGTGAGCTGATATTTTTCACCTGAAGACGTCATCATATCTACAGGAATTACATATGATTGGAATCATCATAGTTCTAAAATAATTTTGAAAATTAATTGTTTTTGCACTTGCCTGCAAATGTCTAGCATAATTGTCCCACCCGTAACACATGTCTTGCATGCTTACCCTGTCAGGTACAGGACTACAACTGCCCATGCTGATGCGCATTGCTGCGCCATGATAGGAGACAGCGTGATAAATTTGAACGAGGTGGTACATATGAGAAATGACATTTCAAATCAAAATTGTCCCACCCGTAACGTTTTTCGTCAACTCTTTAAAAACACAATTAAACGCTGTCATTAATTTTACTTTGAAAATTCATGCTGTTTGGCATTGTGGATGATAGTAAAAATCCAAAATTGTAGCATCCTAAGTTAAACCGTTTCGGTGATATCACAAGACAAAGTTTTTGAAGAAATGGCCAAAAATTATGCATTCTAAAAAATTGCAACTCTTTATCTAAGTATTAAACAAATTATTAACCTTTAGTAAGGAATCAAATGCAAGTTCTTAAAAAGAGCTTTCTATTGATATGCAACATTTATATGATAATGCAATATTTAAAATGTAATCCAATTTTAAACATCTGCAATGTTTGTCCCACCTGTAACTTTCGTTACGGGTGGGACAAAAGTATCATGTGGATGCAGAAGGACTTGAAATCTTGAGTTTCATCCCTTGGGGTGGTTATTTGGGTACATACCAACAATATATCAGCAATCGAAACAATTTTGACCCAAGGTGACCCATGGCAATCAAAAGTGACCTATCTTGGTCACTCTTTTTAAATTTGAGTAAACTTACATCGCCTTAGGAAAATGAGGACCAAGTTAGATCGATTGGAGAATTTGGGTAAATTTGGGTCACCATGGGTCACCTGCAATCACTCAGGATCATAATTAGTCACTCTATCTCATTTTTAGCATTTTTCAGTCACCCTAGACCCACGCTGGGTCGATGCTTGGGTCCTTTGGGTCGCCATGGATCACCTTGGATCACTTTAAGTCAACTCTGGTTACTAGTAAATAGTGAGATTCACGGTAGGTCCCCATGGGACGAATTGTCTCACCGTGGGTCGAAATGGATCAAAATGGGTCGCTTTGTGCAATTGTTGGTCAAATGTGTCACTGCTTCTATTTTTGCGAAAGTAGATATCACTCTCGGATTATTAGGCCCATATTCAGTCAATTAGACAGTTTAGACACCTTTAGGTCACCATGGGTCACTAATTATCATTTTGGGACACTAGGACCAGACTTTGAGATTAAGGGAACTCAAGAGTTTCATAACTCAGATCGGTTTGTACTTGTTTCAGACAATCTAGGCTGGAAATGATCCCCATGTTATTTCCCTATGATTCCTGACTTTTGTAACACCCTGTATATATTAGATTTGGGTCAGAAGTCTGTAATGTTTTTTAGTATTATCGTACTTTTTAGAAATTCAGATTTAAAGAAAATTCAAATTAAAAAAGGGTAAAAGACCACAAGACTGAAAATAAGGTGTCCCACCCATAACAAAATTTGTTTGCTGTTGGGACACTTACGTATCGTTGTAAAACTGCTCTGCTTGTTTCCATTTATCTGCCAAATTTTATTTTAAAGAATGCGTGTCCTGTCAAAAAAAATAGCCTTAATAATGACCATTGCTTCATATCTGGATCTGGATGAGGATTGGAAGTAGGTTTGTTCAAGACATTTGTCCCACCCATAACACTTCTAAGCCAGTATTTGAAAACTGTAATGCGCTAAAATTCAGTTGTACTCATATTTCATGTGTACCTGAGACAGGAAAACCACTCCACAAGTACCAATAAGCTGAGCTAATTCTACATGTCAAGAGGACTTAAAGCTTCTTGTAACATGGGACATTTTCGGTGCAGTTGATTACTTCAAACAGCAATAAATATAATATGAAGGGTCCTGGAGTTCAACCGCGCTAGACTTACATGCAAAAGAACATCAGAGACAAATACAAATTGGCAAAAATGAAAAGTTTTACAGTAGAATTTTCCGTTTTCGTCTCTTTTTTAGCCTGATTCACTCATACTCCTGGCACTCTCATGAGGGAGGCGAATGGCTGACAAGGCTTACGCTAGTGATTACGTTTATGTCAACGCAAACCTGAAACGGAGCAAACTGAAGTTTTTGCTTTTCTTTCGTTGCCTTAGTGCGGATAGCGCTCTCTTCTTTCATACTCATCTCGACGTTTGACGGTTCGACTTCACTATTTACATTTCGTTCCCCCTTGTGAGGGCGGACATACATAGCTTCTTTCATGACAGTCTTGGTCTTTGGCAGTACCACATCATTGTTTACAATGGTTTCCCTTGTCTGAGAAATGATATTGCTATTATCTTTCGTGCTCATCTTGGCCTTAGACGCTTCCACTTCATTATCTACATTTCGTCCGCTTGTTTGAGGACGAAGATCCCTAGTTTCTTTCATGACCGTCTTGGCCTTTGACGCTTCCACTGCATCGTTAACCATGATTTCCCTTGTCTGGAAACTGATATTGCTATTTTCCTTCATGACCGTCTTGGTCTTTGGCGGTACCACTGCATCGTTAACCATGATTTCCCTTGTCTGGGAACTCATATTGCTATTTTCTTTCATGCTCATCTTGGCCTTTGACGCTTCCACTTCATTGTTTACATTTCGTTCCCCTGTGTGAAGGCGGATATCACGAGCTTCTTTCATTACCGTCTTGGTCTTTGGCGGTTCCACTTCATCGTTAACCATGATTTCCCTGGTCTGGGAACTGATATTGCTATTTTCCTTCATGACCGTCTTGGTCTTTGGCGGTTCCACTGCATCGTTAGCCATGATTGCCCTGGTCTGGGAACTCATATTGCTATTTTCTTCCATAACCGTCTTGGTCTTTGGCGGTTCCTCTTCATTATCTACATTTCGTCCGCTTGTTTGAGGACGAAGATCCCTAGTTTCTTTCATGACCGTCTTGGCCTTTGACGCTTCCACTGCATCGTTAACCATGATTTCCCTGGTCTGGGAACTGATATTGCTATTTTCCTTCATGCTCATCTTGGCCTTTGACGCTTCCACTTCATTACTTACATTTCGTCCGCTCGCTTGAGGAGTAAGATCCCTAGTTTCTTTCATGTTGGCCTTGTGGTTTGGCGGCTCCACTTCATTACCTACATTTCGTCCGCTTGTGTGAAGAGGAATATCCTTAGTTTCTTTCTTAATCGCCTTGGTCTTCGACGGTTCCACTTTGTTGCCTACATTTATTTCCCAAGTCTGAGAACTGCTATTTCTTGCGTCTGTAATGCTCACATTGGTCGTTGACGGTTCTTTCTCCTTGTTTGCATTGATTTCCCCTGTATAAGAACCGACACTGCTTGTTTCTTTAATGCCTATCTTGGCCTTTGACGGTTCCGGTTCATTTACTACATTTCGTCCCCCTGTGTGGAAATGTTCTTGTTGCATGCGCATCATGGTCGTTGACCATTCCTCTTTCCAATTTCCGCGTTGTTCCCCAATCTGCGAAAGAACATGCCTTGATTCTTTCACGTGTATGTTGGTCTTTGGCGTTTCTTCATTCTTTCTATGACGTCCGCCTGCCTGAGAACTGGCATCGCCTGGTTCGTTCATGCCCATCCTTGCTTTTGCTAGTTCTTCTTTCCGACGGCTGTATTGCAGTTGTATCCCCTTTACCTGTAAATACGAATCCACATGGAGTTGACTGTCCAACAGAGAGTGGGGCAGAGGGATAAGATTTCAAGAGCGACCGAGACCTGAGTTCTGTATTGAAAGAGTATTTCTTTTAAGTGACGCAGCTCTTCCTCGTCTTCGAGGTTGTGAGACGTTATTTCCTGATCACTCTCCCTCTCCTCCCGTTCTTGATCTTCCGATTTCGCAATGCTGCCTTCAAGTCCCTTCTCCTGTTTGCGGTGCTCCTCAGTTACCTTCTCAACCTCAGCCTGGGGTAATGTTTCCTTACTGGATACGTTCTTCTCACTCACCACCTGAACAGTGAAAGCAAATCTTCGCAGACGTCCATTTCGATAAATTGAACAAATTCTTGTGAATGGTCCATTTCTTTTAACATTATGTCATGCTGTCATGTTTTTAACTTTACGTTATTACAGAGGAACAAAATTGAAGTAAGAAATTCGCAAATATAACTTTCCTGTTTCATTTTTTATGAAAGAGAACATTCACCAGGGAAGGTATACGACATATACTCTTGTAGTTTGTCCTTAAATTAGATGTAATCAGAAAGGAGGAGAGATATAAATCTTATCGCATCTAAAGTTGTGTCTTTCCCAGTTACTATGTACATATGGAACATCGAATGTATCAGCAACACATTTCCTTATTGTGGAACAGTTCCTGAAAATACATTTTATTTAGGAGCTTGCATTCTGGCTCTAAGTTACTGGCCTCTCATTTCCTCAAGCGTGCTTTTCTCCTGAGTCATCTAATCTGGAACACTGAAATGGATATCTCTTGATTTGGCTCATAACATAATTTATAATTATTATTTGTACTTCAACGCATTTCAGCCGGTTTATGTATGGCTCGATTTTGTGGTATTGCTTCTGAGATTTTCATCAAGGAGCCAAACGATTCCAACGATTTTTTTTCCCTTTACATTTCCTCTTCCTGATTGCTACTTTGCAGCTCGATTTCTCCAGCATGAAAACACTAATTAACTAGCGCCTGACCATCACTTTCAGAGACACTAATTCAGAAGGACATTGCATTTACAGACATGAATTCTTACATGCGAAACCTGGCTCCTCCTTTCTTCCTGCTCCTTCTTCTTCTTCTTCTGTTTCTTAGGCTTCCCGGCAACTTCAACCTGCGTCTGAGAGCTTGCCTGCAGCGGCTCCTCTTGTCTCTTCTGTTTCTTCTCCACCTGAATGGATATGAATGCACATTCCGTGACGGATTATGACGATAAGAGAATTAGGACGCACTTTACATCAACTTCGATGTCTCATCTTCTGTATCTAATTTCAACATGAATGGAGATGACTCTGTCCAAGTTCTACGGTTTTGGGATGAGTGCTCAATGTGCTCGTCCTTTCCGATGCCTAGGATGCTGCCGGAATGCATCCTATCCCGATGTGGATATGTGGAGGTGTTAGTACCTAATCCTAACTTTGTCTTGGTGTTCTACATCTAATAACGTTTCATCTTTATATCGTTATTCGAAGTTCATTCAGAAATTAATCACAATATTTAAGAAATACCTCAAAAGCTTTCCATGAAACCGTGAGTCTAACCAAGAATTGTTGAATCATCACAACACCTAGTAAGCGGGGGCACCACTTGACGCATTTTGTCTTTGGGGATACATTTCTGTGTGACGAATTCCATTTTATCCGCATCCACAGCTTGTTACAGTCCACTTCCAGTTCACATGTATTTTCGCCATTAGAAGATCCAATCCAAGTGATTGTCGCTTTTCTGCTCGATTCGTATTTGTCCTAGTGAGCTACATGACCTCAAGCTACTCAAATCTTTCGTCGTCAGATCAGTTACTCTCAATTGAAGATTATTTCGGAACAACTTGGCAATTTTGATAACCGTGCATCTTAACGCATTTTCTGAATTTATGCTGCGAACACGAACATCAACCACCTGCGACTCCTCGAGATCCTTGCAAAGCCTTTCAGCCTTCTCAGACTGCAGGCGCCCGGAAAACAAATATTGACCTCATTAAAGCCATTAAAGCCTCATTAAAGTTTTTCGAAAACCAAAACGAAATCTGGACCTGAACAACGATGTTCTTGCGATCGTTGAGCTCTGTCCCTGTCCTGCCTGTTGCAAGCTCAACGTCTGAACGCTTCTGCTCCTCTTTGAGCTGTTCTTGATTTTTTCTCTTAGGTTCTACTTGTGTTGCTTCCATATCCGTTGACTGCTTCACAGTTCCCCTCTCCTGCATCTTGAATGATTCCTGAAATCGCTTCTGAAAGGCCTTCTTTCCCTGCCCCAGCTGGAAATGAAAATAATCTATCATATTCCAGCGATTCCGATGCCATGAAAAAGATTTCCCCCTACAAAAAAAAGTTCATAAACATGAATTAGTATTTCTGCTTTAGTACCTTAAGCCTTAGAGGGATTAATTTCCAGAAATGTGCAGAAGGAGTTTGAGTGCAATTTGATGTGCTTTGTCATTAGCCTATTCATAGCTTATGAGCCACGTTTGAGCGGCATATCTCCAAGCAATATGTAGTACTGTCCTCAATGAATATAAACCTCTTTTTTTTTGCACCACTATTAAAATTGTTATATTTCTTGATGAGAGAGTTCTACATACCGCCTGGGGGTATACCACTCAAAAGTAGCGCACATAGTTTTTAATAATGATGCAAATCGAAACGGGAAGGTCTTGACTGCCGAATCGGAAATACTCAAAAGATGGAAAGAACATTTGGTGGAGCTCCACCAACGGCGGACTCTAATACATCCTACTCGGAGCCTGTCTGCGCGGAGGATAGTCTTATCATGGAGAAGTTCAACTTGGCTAGCTTGAAGAATGGAAAGCCTCCTGTCATGGATGAAACCTGGTCAGAGGCACTGAAAGCAATAGGCACCAAAGGATGCTCGTGGTTGCATAGGGTATGTCGAACCACATTGGGAATTTGGGACGGCACCCGTGGGAATATGCCAAAGAGGCTTACATTACATTACAGGCTTACATTACAGACATTGGGAATATGCCAAAGAGGCTTACACGTGTTTCGTGTATCTCAAAAAGGCCCATGACCGTGCACTACGAGGGGAGCTGTGGGGCGTGCTGCAAGAGATTGAGTTATCCGTCGGCTACTGCGAACCATTCATTCCCCTACTCGGTGATTGAAGGAGCTGTTTTCGAGTGAAAAGGAGTGAAAAGGAAAATTCGGACTAGTTCCTGGTGCTTGTTGGACTACGTCAGGGTCGCATTCTATTTTCTTTCCTTTTCTCGTGTACATGAACAGGATCTGTAGGTGTAACCTGGCCTCGAGGCCAGGATAATGGGTTTATCACCCATGGGCATTATCCTGGAGTAGCTGGCACTAATTAGTGCCAGCTACCCTATCGAAGTAAAGGCACTTCTCTACGCAGCTGAGACCGCCCTTTTGGCCCAGAATGTACTGGGCCCGAATTGAGTGATTTTCCTGAGTAAAACCATAGAGTAGAGAGTGTAACTAGAGGCGACACTCCGAGAGGTAGGGGAGAGTCGAAATATTACAGAGACATCTAGTGGCTTGTTAACAACACTTCCATGCGGCGTGCTTTGTGGCAGCGGAATCGGGAAACGACTCATTCGGGGATTCGACCCAAAGGGATTCCTCAACGTAACACGCGTGTCTCGTTGAGTCCGCTGCTCAGCCATGGAAGAGTTGTTGATGTGCACCCGCTAGGTGGATGATCGACGGCGACATCGTCGACATCGATCAACATCATCGATCATCGATCGACAGGGTCGTAATATAATTACGACCCTGTCGATGAATGGGATTCGAGCGGAGTGTCGCCTCTAGTTACACTCTCTACTCAATGATAAAACTTAGCGTCCCCAAATCGTAGGTTATTGTCCTCTCGAAAACCTCTGCCTTACATGTTATGGGGGGTCCATGGGGTGGAGAAGTTTAAGTACTTCGTGGTCTAGTTCTCGAATGATGGTCGATACCGAAACGAGATCGGCAGCCACATCTCCAGAGCTTTCAGTTTTACTTTGGATGACTGGTTGCCAAATCTGAAATTTCTAAGGAAACGAAACTTTGTTTTTAAGACCGTTTACCTTCCCAACATCACAAATGGTCGCGAACCATGGATACAGGGACGTCATTTCGGGGAAGCGGGGGATGGGGGAGAGGGGGAGCAAACACCTACCCTACCCGTTGACCTCCGCTTTTCTCCAAGCCTGTTGTCCCCTTAATAGCTGGTGAAATGACGTCCCTGTGTAAATAATAACTTAGAGTATGAGGTTGCGAACACAAGCAGCCTCGATGAGGTGTTAGCGGCGGATGGCCGAGATCATGCGTCGTGAGAAGATTCGTAATGCTGCCATCCGTGAAAACCTTCAGATCGAGCAGCTACTTCGGATCGATGGAAGGTAAGGACACGCCTCCCGCATGCCTCCTGAGAGACTCCCAAAAGAGCTTTCTAATTTAAAATGAACGGGAAAAGACCAGTCGGTAGGCCTCGTGCAAGGTGAACGGACCAAATTGCGAATCTTTGCAACGAATGGCTCGAAATACCACAACTGCCGAGCACGAATCAGTTGTCCAGGATCGCGAATACTGAAAGAGATTCCTGGGCCTGCTCGAACCGCAAACCCATTAAGTTGGGGTAAACGAATCCAAATATGTAGGCCTATCTATATTTGAATCGGTCTGCAACGAAACAACCCACAATTTAGACTTAACATGTCTTGTGAAGATGTGCAGGCGGTAGGTGCCACCCTGCTGCGCGATTGCCAAGCTCGAAGCAATGGTTTCTCCGACTTGAGAGCTCACGACCAAACTCAGAACTCATTGTTGCTATTAGAACGTCATTGAACTGAGTAGAGCAGGGAAATGTAATGACCAGGCCAGTAGAGGGAAGAGTTAGAAGGCATGAGAGGACGAAAGAATACCAGGGAACGGCCGGGAATCGAACCCGGGCCGGTAAGATGTGCTACCACTACACCACCGAACCGAGGACATTCAGTCGTGCCTCTCCATGCCGTCCTTTACACAACAAAAACTATTAAAAAAAGTATTATCGCCATGGTACAATGATATGATTAAAGGAGAGGTATTTAATTGGCATGGAAACATGTAACGCTGCCTGATGCGATTAACAACATTCAAATATTGGACTCACCTCTCGAAAGCGTATCTGGTCTTCTTGGGTAAAAGCGATCGACTTCCTGATTTCTTCGGTTTTCTCCTGAAATGAAAAGTAAAACATATTCAGTCCTGTGACTTTTGTTCTCGATTATCGTGGATCCTCATAGTGAGCCCATTTCCTAGATGCATCATGCCCTTGCATCAGAAGTATTGGTGTAACTGTGTTAATGATCATATCAGAAACTAAATCGGAATCGGTTTGGGAAATATGGAATCTTGATATCCGCATGTTGATTAACCGAAAATTTCAAAATCGTTACCCTTCTAGCCAAAAGCTTCACCGCATGAAACTTGATCGTCAGATGTCAACCGCAGATATTTTGCCTGCATGAGATGCGGCGGAACGCTCTCCACGAGTTCGCTTCCGCCTTGGACTGTGCTCGGTTACTTCATTCTCGGTGGATGATTCTTCGACAATTCGTTTAATCACTTCATTCCCCTAACCCTTTCAGGTCCCCGTGTGCCTAGTAGGAAAGTGTCAAAAATGTAAGTTCTTGATAAATTTACAATGACCTTTACCAGTATATTACTCCGTAATTCATGGAAGCATAGGACCCACTTAGACATAGTCACGAATTGATAAGCTCGGTTGGTACCTTCCTTGGCTCCTATGACACAGGGGACCCAAGTTCGAAAGCAAATAAATCAGACAAGCCCATTCGTCTTGGGAAAGGGTGACCCCTTAGCAATAGGTAGTTCCTTCTCGGAAAGTGGGAAATTAAGAAACTTCGGTGAAGGCCTTACCACCGAAGTAACCGCTCGGGAAAAATTGAGTCTCCCATGGTTACATGTTACTCGGCTCTCGTTTGAGCCTGATATGGTGTCAACCTTCTTGTTCTTGGTAGCGCAGGGTATTGTACAGAAATAGGCATGTGGGCGGCGAATCATATTCGTCTCGTCTCCAGGCTGTCTTGCGAGTCTTCCCTCAGAGAGAGCAAAATTGCAAACCAAAAAAACACTCTCAGATAGGAGGAATGGAGATTGTCTTTGCCCGACTGCAAGGTTTTCCTTTTCAGAATGATCAATTATCAGACCTTAACTTCTCTTGCCTGCATCTTATGTATTAAAGACGTAATGAAGCTGCGTGCGTGTGAAGCCTCCGATTTTAGCTCCCCAACGCTAGGGTCCTACGAGAGTGTTACGGAGGGAAAGTGGGAGACGGACGGCATGAGAGGTCGAAAGAAGCCAAGGAACGGCCGGGAATTGAACCAGGGCCTCCTGATTGCCGGTCAGGTGTACTACCACTACACCACCGAACCCAGGACATTCAGTCGAGCCTCCCGATGCCCTCATCCTCATCCGTCACGATAGTATGCCATTCCAGGCCATAAGTCAGGCCATCCACGGCCTAAAGCGTTAAGCCTACAAGATTCTGCCATTCTGGGTCATAGGCTAGGCCATAAGAATTGAAAGAGGCCGAGAGCGGTGGTGAATGGTTGTCACTCATCTGCGGCCCAACACGCTAGGCCTACAAGGTTATGTCATTCTAGGCCATAAAAACCTTGGCATGCTTTTAATTTATTTGACGGCCAGCGTAGCGGCCACAGGCCGCTTGTCTACAATAAATTGCTTTTTCCCTTCCTAAATTGATATTTCGTGGATGAATGATTGGGATGGGGATGTCGATACGCTTGTTACAGAGGAAAGGAGGAAAGTGTCACTTGATTTGGACTTAAGACTATCCTAGGATTTTAAATTCCCTGTCACCCGAGAAGTCTATATTTCCGTCTCGAAAATGAGGACCAACGCGTCTGTACTTGCTTCGTCAGGACTTTCTAGATGCACTGAAACACGAACAAGGTAGGGGAGCTGAGAAACAACTTAGTGCAGGTAAAGGCCTTATGCGGGGGAGAACGGCGACGATAGCGTGAGGGGAAGTATCCTTTAGCCTTGACTGCAGGAGAAATTAAGCCGAAAGAGTCAGCAGCCACTTTTAGGAGCATCTTTGTGAAGTCACTCAGCATGCGTGCATATTCAAGACCTCCGCAATGCAAGAGGTTGGATGGAATTTTTTTAGAATGGCATACTTTCTTGTATTTTCGCATTATGGGACTGGAAATAATTGAACTTATAATTAGAAACTAAAGATGCATCTCAATCTGACGAAATTTACGATAACCTGACTTATGCATTTACTAAACAATTATAATGACTATTGGATGTTCCTTTGTGCATCCCTTTGAAGCACGTCAAGATAATCGCTGTTTTCTCACTAGAAAAGGCAAGGCGAGGAGAGGAATGCTCATTGCCGTCGCTTCCAAATCCCTCCGAGACAGAAATAGGACTCACCAGCAGCTGGGGGTAGTTGCGTGATTCTTTGTCTTCCTGTAAGCGTTCGCTGATCGTATTCAACTGCTTGATCAACTCCTCCTGTCTTGCCAAGGCTTGCAGCATGTTTCCGTGCAATATTACGTGGCCTGTTAAGTAGTACAGAAGTACAGTCATCAAGTACAGAAATATTAATACAAGAGGTTTTCCCAAGACTTGCATTTCTGATTCAGTGCATACGAGGTTGGCGTCAATATTCGTCTCGGTATTAGAATGGCACACCATAATAAGTTCACCGCGTATGATTTCCCACACCCTCTGGCTGTGCGTAAGTAGCATGATCAAACACTGCAGAATGTGCTGTGTGGAACATGCACTCTATGTGTAATCTTATATGCACGGTGCTCATACTCATACACAACGCAGGTAATATTTACCAGTTTTTCTGAGGAGCCAACAAACGCTACTGAGCTCAGCTGGCTGAGTAGCTATAAGGAGAGGGGAGGAATCTTCTGAGGTAGAGGAAACCTAAAATTCTAATGATCATTTCCATTCCTCCCCATATTTTTATTTTTACTGGTTCTTGATGCCTCTCCCGAATTGAATTGTTCCTGTCCCATTCCAGCCGCTCTTGAACATGTTTTTCCCTATTCACCTCCAGATTCCCAAACTGCTGGAAATTATTAATGTGACAAAAACTTGGCATAACTTGGCATAACCTATATTTATTAGACTTTTTCAATCCAGGGAAAACTTGCGACACGGGCATGCTGTAATACGCATCATAATCCACGTTCCGGTCAAATCAAAGGTTTAATAATCGTATCACTGAGAATCCTGCACAAAAGCATTACTCCGATTGGACTTCGTGGATGAGTTTCGCCTATCTACAGCAGGTTTCAGACCAATATTGCCTTTCGTGATGGTTCACTTCATCGTTCAACACGAACTTTGCTTCATCAAAGCGGGATACACGCGTTAAGAAAACCGGCACAGCGATTAAGCGGGTACCAATTCCTATCGGTAAACGAAGTCAGCATCGTACAGTTCCTGTGTGCATTCAGCCCTGTACGGGTGGTACTTACGTGTGTGAAGAATCTAACATACGGATCCAACGGAAAT